GGGGTCACCACAACATGAGGAACTGTATTAAAGGGTCACAGCCTTAGGAGGCATTAGGAAGGTTGAGAACCACTGCCCCAGACACAGGCACCTGTCACAGGAGAATTACAAACTGCAAAGTAAGCCCAGTCTGCACTTCACTCTCCCAAACAGCCCTGAAGGCCTGGCAGGTGCACCCATGTTATTGGCCTGGGACCTGACCGCTGTGGGCAGGCGCCACCTCAGCCTCTTGCTTGAGGGCTAACCAAGAGTCTCCTGTAGAATTGAGGACTTTCCACCAAGCTGTGGGGTTTTCCGCCACAGCCCCTTGCCAGGCTTGATGGAGAGGCCTTGTGATACAAGCCCCTGGTGGGGGCGGGAAATCACACCTTCTCTGGGGGAGATTCTGAGAGGTGCCCTTGGGCACAAAAGCTAGGACAGTAGCGGGCTCCACCCCTGACCCTGGCTGTCCTCACCCAGAGCGAGGTCACGACAGCCTTTCCTGCAGCATGGATGTGGCACCAGCAGACACATCAGCCCACCTTGCATCAGGCCTGGTCCTGACTTCATGACTCCACCAGCTCTGCCTCAGAGCTGTCCTGTTAGGTCAGCACTGTGGTTGTGTTCATTTTACAGATAAGTGGCAACGTTTGGTGTTTTCTCCAAAAATTAAATAGAAAATCACTATGTGATCTAGCAATTGCACTTTTGGGGACACCCTCAAAAGATGGAAAGCAGGTGTTCAAGCAAAAATTTGTACACAGATGTTTATAGCAGCAGCATTCACAATAACCCAGAGGCAACAACCCAAATGTCCACCCAAAGCCGAATGGATAAAGTGTGGGGCAGCCTTACAATGGACTGTCGTCCCACCATGAAAAGAAACGAGGTGCTGGTACATGAACCTTGGAACAGTGTGCCAAGTGAGGTGAGACAGACATCAAGGTCCACATGCTGTGCAGTTCCATTTATATGACACACCCAGGACAGGCAAATCCAGAGAAACAGAAAACAGGTTGGAAGGGAAGAAGGGGTAATAAGTATGGGGTTTCCATTTAGAGTGGATGGAAAGCTGTAGAGCGAAGCAGTGGTGATGGTCACACAACATTGTGATGTACTAATTGCTGCTGAATTTTAACTTTAAAATGGTCAACATGGTACATCTTCATCACAATACAAATTTATTAAAAAGTCAATTGGGCATATTTGTGTGGGTCTGTTTCTGGGTTCTCTGTTCTGCTCCACTGATCTATGTGTCCATTCATCAGCACCACAGTCTTCATTGCTGCAGCCGTGTGATAAATCTTGATACCCAGTAACCTGATGCTTCTCACTTCTCAAATATTTTTCAAAATTGTTTTAGCTATTTTATTTCCTTTGGATCTTCTATCTAAGTTTTAGAATAATTTTGTCTCTGTCTGTAAAAAGAGAAAAAAGTCTTGCTGAGATTTCCCTTGGAATTGCATTAAACCTACACGAAGTCTGACAATTAAGTCCATGAATTCATCCTAGAAAAAGTGCTGCACACCTCACTGCTGAATATCACAGCAGTCATCTTCCACCTTCCCTTGAGAAGCTACAATGCTGATGCCAGCACCTTCAACACAACTTTGGAATTCTTTTTTCTGGAATGGCCATCAGAGCTATTGTCATATTACCCTTGGTGTCCTGAATAATATCTAAATGTCTTCCTTTCAATATTTCTTTTATCTTCAGGTAAAGAGAAAAGTCACTGGGTCCAGATCAGGTGAGTAGGGAGGGTGGTCCAATATAGTTATTTGTTTACTGGCTAAAAATGCCCTCACAGGCAGTGCCATGTGAGCTGGTGCATTGTCATGATGCAAGGGCCATGAGTTGTTGGCCAAGATTTTCAGTTAAGATTTTCTTAACTGTCTATTTATGCTTACTGGGTCTGCTGTGCTTCTCACAGTCAGTTGATGATTTTGATGTAAAATTCAACAAATTTTTGCAGTCTTTTTGCCCATTTTGCTCAATACCAGCCACCCTTAACTCTCTTTATCAGTGACACTTTCTCTCTTCTCAGAAAAACATTTAATCAGCTGGGTGCAGTGACTCACTTCTATAGTCCTAGCACTCTGGGAGGTCAAGGCAGGTGGATTGTCTGAGCTCACGTGTTTGAGACCAGCCTTAGCAAGAGCGAGTCCTCATCTCTAAAAATAGCTGGGCATTGTGGTGGGCACCTGTAGTCCCAGCTACTTGGGAGGCTGAGGCAAGAAAATTGCTTGAGCCCAAGAGTTTGAAGTTGCTGTGAGCTGTGATTTCACAGCACTCTATTGAGGCCAACAAAGTGAAACTCTGTCTCAACAACAACAACAACAAAATTTAATCCATTTATATGCTGCCATTTTATTCATAGCATTATTCCCATAAAACTGGACTAAGATGTCCTGGATGTCACTTCCACTCCTGTGCCAAGTTTAACAATAAATTAAATGTTTGCTTGTTTATTG